ACCCACCCCGTCTTGGCGAAGTTGGTCCAGTAGGTCATGACCACGGCGCTGAGCATGACGTCGTTCTTGGAGAAGTTGCACGGGAAGAGGTCGGTGGCGCCCACCATGGGCACCCCGAACACGTAGGGGATCTCGTCGCCGTGCGCCGCGTCCGCCCACTCGGGCCGGGCGTCGCTCTGGCAGTGGTGGTAGAAGGTGTAGAAGTACACGGGCGACTGGTACTCGGCGTGCAGCTTGGCCGTGGCCACCGCCGGCGCCACCCACTGGTGGTCGGTGAAGAGCGCCAGCAGCGTCTTGCGCCGCATCTCGCCGTTGTCGCGGTCGGCCCAGTCCGTGTACATGAACTTGATGGTCTCCCTCAGGATGTCCTTGCCCTCGGGGTAACCGTACAGGTTGTCCACGAAGTTGGAGACGGTGAAGTCGAAGTAGGAGGCCGAGATGCCGTCCTCGCTCTCCAGGGAGTCCTCCACGAACTTCAGCCCCTCGCCCTGGTTGACGCCGATGAGGATGTCGTAGTTGAGGAACTCGCCCTGCTGCATCAGGATCTCGGGGTCGTCGGGCACCACGTCGCCGTCCACCACCGGCCCGAAGGCCACGTGGTAGCGGGCGGGCTGCACGTCCTGGTCCACCAGGGCCCGGAAGGGCTGGCGCCGCAGGCACTCGACGGCGGCGCCGGTGTCGGCGCGCTCGCAGCCCACCTTGGCCGCCAGCAGCCGCGTGTACTTGAGGGGTTGGTAATTGACCGACCAGCTGGCGATGGCCGTGCCGCTCTGGGCGATGGCTTTCTGGAACAGGCCTGGGGGGGACAGTCAGGGGGGTCACAGGGGGGTTTTGGGGTCACCAGGATGGGATTTTGGGGTCTGGGGTCATTGGGATGGAGATTTTGGGATTTGGGGTCATGGCGATGGCCGTGCCGCTCTGGGCGATGGCTTTCTGGAACAGGCCTGGGGGGGACATTTTGGGGTGGTCAGAGGGGGGTTTTGGGGTCACCAGGATGGGATTTTGGGGTTTTGGGGTCACTGGGATGGGGATTCGGGGTCATTGGGATGAGGTTTTGGGGTTTGGAGTCATTGGGGTTTGGGGACTTGGAGTTTGGGGTCACTGGGATGGGATTTTGGGTTTTGGAGTCTGGGGTCACCAGGATTTGGGGACTTGGAGTTTGGGGTCACTGGGATGGGATTTTGGGGTTTGGGGTCACCAGGATTTGGGGATTTGGGGTTTGGGGTCACTGGGATGGCAGGAATTGGGGTTTGGGATTTGGGGTCATGGCGATGGCCGTGCCGCTCTGGGCGATGGCTTTCTGGAACAGGCCTGGGGGGACATTCGGGGGGGTCAATTTTGGGGTTTTGGGGTCACTGGGATGGGATTTTGGGATTTGGGGTCATGGCGATGGCCGTGCTGCTCTGGGCGATGGCTTTCTGGAACAGGCCTGGGGGGGACAGTCAGGGGGGTCACAGGGGGGTTTTGGGGTCATTGGGATGGGATTTTGGGGTCTGGGGTCACCAGGATTTGGGGACTTGGAGTTTGGGGTCACTGGGATGGGATTTTGGGGTCTGGGGTCACCAGGATTTGGGGTTTGGGGTTTGGGGTTTGGGTCATGGCGATGGCCGTGCCGCTCTGGGCGATGGCTTTTTGGAACAGGCCTGGGGGGGGACATTTGGGGGGTCACAGGGGGGTTTTGGGGTCACTGGAATGGCAGGAATTGGGGTCTGGGGTCACCAAGATGTGGGGAATTTGGGATCCCACCAGGATTTGGGTTCCCCAGATAAAATCTGGGGAGGATTTG